CATAGGCCTAACTGAGGCGTGGCGGTCCGATTGAGTTTGGCACCCCTGCTCGTAACGCATGACGATGATTTTAAATGTAGAGGGAAAAACCCGGAGGCATTCTCAGAGTCGCTATCGGACCCATACCAGACGAGGAAGTTGATGTCTGCCTCACCGCCTTGGCAACAAATGAACGAATGTGATTGGCAATGTTGGTTCAATACAAGCGAAACTCTGGACTGGTTTAGACATCGAGTGTCTGGGCAATATAGTCAGGTGCGGTTTTTTTAACCATTGTGTAGGGGACTGAATAGGGAATAAAACGTTCCATGGAGCTACTAAAGATTTATAAAAAAATACTAGCAGGAAGTACCCGGCTTTTCACGGGGTAAAAAAATGTATTTCAAAACTTCTCTTCTCTTAAAAAAACATCGGTTATACATACACAAATACTAAGCTGTTGTGAAAGCCCGGTGTTCCGTTTGTCTATCCATTTGTCCGTCAGAAGAATTGTAAGAGCCTTTCCGAAGTCCTGAATCAAAAAGTAATAGATGGTGGTGGGGGGGGGGGGGGGTAAATAGTTGATCTAAAATGTTTCCAAAAATTGTCAACCCCCACCCAAAATCATTTTACCGCCCCCAGGAAATTTGTATCTTGTAGACATGTATACCTTACACGACCTACATACAATAGAGTCAGCAGTATCTAGTGACTCTGTAGTAGTAGTACCTATTGATAATACAGTAGTATATACTGACTCTACAGTAGTATATACTGACTATCGTAGTAACCACCGATGGTATTGTCGTAAAATACTGACTGAAATCTAGATTTGAAGTTTCCGTGGCTGCAGGGATCCATGACTTTTGGTTCTTTCGGTAAAGTCACGTGGGGGGGGCATAAAATAAAATCAGCTAAATCACGATGTTTCGGGCGCAACACAAGCGTCCATCATCAGGTGGGGACAGCCACAGCAATCAACTTATTGCTGAAGTGGGCAAAAAGGGGGTTTGCTTGTAACAAGAGGCTTTATAAGTAAGAGAGGGGGGATGGGGGGGAGGAGGAGCCAGGGTGGAGAGATAGAGAGAGTTGGGGACGTGGGGTAGGGGGAGTGGAGAGGTGCGAGCTCCAACACCGAGTAGAACACAATGCCGGGGCTGGTGGGTAGGAGGCTGAAGAACTGGAGATGCGGATAGGTATTGAGGCAAACTATGAAGCAGTTAAGGTTGTACCTATATATCTTAGTTTTTTCGGTAAAGTCACCACGTTGAAGAGAAACAACAAAATAATATATAAATATATATAAAACAATAAAAAAAATTCTCACGACGTTTCGACCATAACTCAAACGGTCATCTTCAGGTGTGTTGGTTTGCATAAATTTATTTTTAAACGGCGCATTTATTTATTTATAAAAAACGTTAGCGCCACGCGCAACGATTTGGCAGATTATTTAGGACTAGTCCATCTATATTCTGAAAAGAGGAGGGGGGAGACGAATTTTTTTTATAATGTATGCTGTCTGAAAGCCACTGTAAGCGCGAACAATCAATTAAGACCTGAAATGGTTTATCAAATCTTTCCAATGATTGCTAAGATAGAATCCATCTTCTCGGTTGAAATTGTCTCTGTGCTTGTATATGTGGATAGCCTCATGAACGAATCTCTCATGTACCTGTGAAAACCTTAACACCCCCACTCGCTCTATCCCTCCTCCTTGGCTCCTCCCCCCCCCCCCTCCCCCCCTCCCCCTTACTTATATAGCTCTCGCTGCGATTTTGGACGATCACATGACGTCACAAAAAGTCAGACCCCCCCCTCAAATATGACGTCACAAAGCTCTGCCCCCCCCCACCCCCGCCAAAAAAAATATATGAAACATGCTTCAAATGGCTTTGAACTATTGTCACATTGTAGTGCGTATTTAATGCGGCGCTGCACCTTGATGTTGTAGGTAGATAACATTTGTTTAAAAAAGTCTATTTAATTAAGTAGAACGTGTTCTTAGTTCTTTCGGTAAAGTCACGTTGAAGGGAAACAATAAAATAATAATATATAAAACAATATATATGTAATATATTTTATTATTTTATTGTTTCCCTTCAACGTGACTTTGCCGAAAGAACCAAGAATAATAATTTTATTGTTTTACAATAATTTTATTGTTTTATATTTTTTATTATTTTATCGCTTCCCTTCTACTATGTTCGTGGTTGTGACTTTACCGAAAGAACCAAGAATAATAATTTTATTGTTTTAATAATAATTTTATTGTTTTATATTTTTATTATTTCATTGTTTTCCCTTCAACGTGGTGGTGACTTTACCGAAAGAACCAAGAATAATAATTTTATTGTTTAACAATAATTTTAATGTTTTATATTTTTATTATTTTATTGTTTCCCTTCTACGTGGTGGTGACTTTACCGAAAGAACCAAGAATAATAATTTTATTGTTTTACAATAATTTTATTGTTTTATATTTTTATTATTTTATTGTTTCCCTTCTACGTGGTGGTGACTTTACCGAAAGAACCAAGAATATTAATTTTATTGTTTTACAATAATTTTATTGTTTTATATTTTTATTATTTTATTGTTTCCCTTCTACGTGGTGGTGACTTTACCGAAAGAACCAAGAATATGCTTCAAATCGCTTTAAACTATTGTCATTGTAGTGCGTATTTAATGCGGCGCTGCACCTTGATGTTGTAGGTAGATAACATTTATTTAAAAAGTCTATTTAATTAAGATAGAACGCATTCTTAGTTCTTTCAGTAAAGTCACGTTGAAGGGAAACAATAAAATAATAAAATACATAAAACAATATATATGTAATATATATTATTATTTTATTGTTTCCCTTCAACGTGACTTTGCCGAAAGAACCAAGAATATGAATCACTGCAGTCACGAAAGCTTTAAATCAAACTTTAAATAGAACGTGTCGTCTGTATTTATTTATAAAGTTGCGCAATTTGATGTGACGTCACATTTCTCAAACCCCCCCCCCCATCCCCCCCCCCTTCGTCACAAACGTCTGACCCCCCCCCCCCCCCCCTCCCCCAGGTGCGTGACGTCATTTATGGACGGCCCTTAATGGTCATCAGTGACACGATACTAAAACCCACCTGGCCGCATTCCAGGTGACCGTTTACCGGAAGTACTGAAGCGATCTCCGTATATGGCCAGGCCAATGTGATTCGTTTGTTCGAAGTGACATTTGTTCCAATGAGGCGCTTTGTGAAGACCGGCAAACGATCACCGCCAACGATGTTCGACAAAGATTGGTGACAAGAGACAGACTGACTGAGACACTCGTTCATACTCACACACACACACACAGCCCCCCAATCTCTCACACACACACACAGACATCCATACTCTAAAATCACACTTCTTACAGAGACACTCTCAAACCCACACACACACTCACCCACTCACTCACCCACTCACAAATACACACACTCACCCACTCACTCACCAACCCCCAAATACACACACTCACCCACTCACTCACTCATTCTCAAATACACACACTCACCCACTCACTCACCCACCCCCAAATACACACACTCACCCACTCACTCATCCACCCTCACATACACACACTCACTCATCCACTCTCAAATACACACACTCACCCACCCACTCATTCTGAAATACACACACTCACCCACTCACTCACCCACCCCCAAATACACACACTCACCCACTCACTCATCCACCCCCAAATACACACACTCACCCACTCACTCATCCACCCTCACATACACACAATCACTCATCCAATCTCAAATACACACACTCACCCACACACTCATTCTGAAATACACACACTCACCCACTCACTCACCAACCCCCAAATACACACACTCACCCACTCACTCATTCTCAAATACACACACTCACCCACTCACTCACCCACCCCCAAATACACACAATCACCCACTCACTCATCCACCCTCACATACACACACTCACTCATCCACTCTCAAATACACACACTCACCCACTCACTCATTCTCAAATACACACACTCACCCACTCACTCACCCACCCCCAAATACACACACTCACCCACTCACTCATCCACCCTCACATACACACACTCACTCATCCACTCTCAAATACACACACTCACCCACCCACTCATTCTGAAATACACACACTCACCCACTCACTCACCCACTCACTCACCCCCCCCCCCCCCAAATACACACACTCACCCACTCACTCATCCACCCACCCACTCACTCATCCACCCTCACATACACACAATCACTCATCCACTCTCAAATACACACACTCACCCACCCACTCATTCTGAAATACACACACTCACCCACTCACTCACCAACCCCCAAATACACACACTCACCCACTCACTCATTCTCAAATACACACACTCACCCACTCACTCACCCACCCCCAAATACACACAATCACCCACTCACTCATCCACCCTCACATACACACACTCACTCATCCACTCTCAAATACACACACTCACCCACTCACTCATTCTCAAATACACACACTCACCCACTCACTCACCAACCCACAAATACACACACTCACCCACTCACTCATTCTCAAATACACACAATCACCCACTCACTCACCCACCCCCCAAATACACACACTCACCCACTCACTCACCCGCTCTCAAATACACACATTCACCCACTGTCAAATACAGACACCCACTCACTCATCCACCCTCACATACGCACCCTCACATACACTCACCCATTCAATCTCTCACACCCACACTGAATCCTACACACGCTCATCCAATCTCAAATACACACATTCACTATCAAATACACACACACACTCACCCACTCACTCATTCACTATCAAATACACACACTCACCCACTCACTCATTTACTATCAAATACACACACTCACCCACTCATTCATCCACATTCAAATGCACACACTCACCCACTCATCCACCCTCACATACACATACACACACTCACCCACTCAATCTCTCAAACAAACACACCCACACTGAATCCTTCACACGCTCAAACACACACACACCGATCCACGCTCGTTGAGACTGAATCTCACACGCACATTCATACTCACCCACACTCAATCACACACACACATAAACAGCCTCACCAACCCACTCGACATCTCACACACTCAAATGCACCCCAGCACATATCGATCCACTCACTCGTCCACACTAAAGCCTCTCTCACACACACACAACACAACACAAACACACTTCCACTCAATCGCAAGACCGACGGTCAACGCGTTAACGAGAGACTGTGACGAGGAGTCTGTGACGAGGAGAGGAGAGCGTCATGACCCCGGGGACAGAGACGCTGCTCTTATCACAGCTACTGGTGAGGACGAACGCTCATCGTTCATTCACCACCATCATCATGGGCGTCGCGGTGGCTAGGAGATGTTGACTACCTCGCCCGGTGTACAGGGATGCTGTGTGGGTTCGCCTGCTGCTGGAATATTTTCAGTCTGCGTCTTTCTCTACCTTTAGGTGGTCGCGTGGATCGTTCTTACCGGGTCCTCCACATTTAGAAACACGCGATTGGAGTGATTGGCTGCTTCTATACATTCCCGCGTGATAAGCCACTCCGTTGAGCTATCATTTGTACCTGTTAACATAACAAGATTTTTTTATTTTGATTTAAAGCTTTCGTGACTGCAGGGATTCATATTCTTGGTTATTTCGATAAAGTCACCACCACGTAGACGGGAAACAATAAAATAATAAAAATATAAAACATAAAAATTCTCACGAAGTTTCGACTGCAACACAAGCAATAATCATCAGGTGTGAAAACCACAGCAAGAAAATTTGACAAAAAGTGGTGTTTTTTTATAACGTTAGCACCACGGAGAGAGATTTGACAGTTTTGTTCAGAAGGACGAGTCCAGCTATGTTCGGAAAAGAGGAGGGGGGAGACGAAAAATTAATGTATGCGGTCTGAAAGCCACCGTAAGCGTGAACAATCAATTAAGACCCGAAATGGTTTATCAAATCCTTCCAATGATTGCTAAGCCAGAATCCATCTTCTCGGTTGAAATTGTCTCTGTGTATATCTGTGGATTGCCTCATGAACGAATCTCTCATGCTGGCCAGATGACTTAGAAAGAACCTCTGTCTTGGAGAAGTCAATGTCATGTGAGCCTACTGAATTATAACAGTGATCTGCCACGGCCGAGGTGTTGGTCCTACCGTGTTTTAGGTCTGCTTTGTGTTCACGGATGCGGTCCGAGACATGGCGTTTGGTTTCTCCAATGTAACTACTACCACAGAGGCAACTTAGTTTGTAGACGCCAGGGTACTGTATGTCCGGAATCACATCTTTTACAGACAGAACCAGATCACGGATTTTATGTAATGTGTTAAATCGGACCTGGATCTTGTGTTTATTCAAGATTTTGGATATATTTTTTTGTGATCCCCGCAATGTAGGGTAAAGTGATGGTTTTGAATGGCTCCTCAAGAGGGTCCTTCTTCATGGTTGGAGTGATGGCTTTGCGGATTGTATAGTCGGAGTAATCATTAGCCTTAAGAGCTTGGTGTACGTGCTTGAGTTCACTGGCTATGTGTTCCTGGTCGGATATGCATTGGGCTCTATGATACAGAGTCTTGATGAGAGAATTCTTCTGGGATGGATGGTGGTGGGAATCCGGTTTCAGGTAAGCATCCGTATGGGTAGCTTTCCTGTAGACAGAGTGGCTCATTGAACCATCAGGTCTCTTTTTTTATTAGGACATTCAAAAAAGGTGGCTTGCCATCTTTTTCGACTTCCATGGTAAATCTGATGGCTGGGTGTATGGAATTGATGTGGTCGAGGAATTGGTCTAGAGCAGGCCGGCCATGTGGCCAGATGACAAAAGTGTCATCCAAGTACCTCTTCCATAAGGTTGGGCGCAGAGTGGCAGTCTGGATGGCGTCAGTCTCAAATTTCTCCCTGAAAATGTTGGCTACAACCGGAGATATTGGGGAGCCCATTGGGGTGCCCTCAGTTTGTTTGTAGAAAGTTCCATTCCAAGTGAAGTATGTATTGGTTAAGCAGTGTCTCACCAGGGGGGGTACCTCAGTGTTTAGTTCTTGATGAACCAAGTCTTCAATGATTGCGATGGTGTCAGGTACAGGAACTTTGGTGAATAAGGAAACTACATCAAAACTGACAAGCAGGTCGTCTGGGGACAGGGAAATACCCTTGATTGTTGATACCAGGTTAGTATAATTTTGTACCGCAGAGGTAGTTTTTCCAGTGAAAGGCCGCAGGATTTCAGACAGAAAACGAGCCAGTTTGTAGGTGGGGGAGTTGATAGTAGAGACGATGGGGCGATGGGGTGTATCTACTCTATGTATTTTTGGTAAGCCGTATAATCTTGGTGGCCTGGCAGCAGAAGGATTCAACGAGAACTGTTTGGTTTGATCAATTCATGCGGTTGGTAGCTATACAAAAATAAAAAAAGAGATCCCACCAACAGCCTCGTCATACAAACCAACAAAATCATTTCTGCTGTAAAAAATGTTCGCGTGATGATGATAGCAGCCACTTCGTTGAGCCGCTATCATTTGTGATGGCTGGTAAAATAAAATTTAGTTGGAGTTGACACAGGTGGCCGTGGGTGAAACGTAGGTGGCTGTATTTTTGTTGAGTTATTGATCAAAGTTAGTTGGTGTTGACACAGACGGTTGTGGGTGAAATGTAGGTGGCTGTATTTTTGTTGAGTTATTGATCAAAGTTAGTTGGAGTTGACACAGGTGGCCGTGGGTGAAACGTAGGTGGCTGTATTTTTGTTGAGTTATTGATCAAAGTTAGTTGGAGTTGACACACGATGTCGTGGGTGAAATGTAAGTGGCTGTATTTTTGTTGTGTTATTGATCAAAGTTAGTTGGAGTTGACACACGTGGCCGTGGGTGAAATGTAGGTGGCTGTATTTTTGTTGAGTTATTGATCAAAGTTAGTTGGAGTTGACACAGGTGGCCGTGGGTGAAATGTAGGTGGCTGTATTTGTGTTGTTCTTATTGATCAAAGTTAGTTGGAGTTGACACGCGGCCGTGGGTGAAATGTAGGTGGCTGTATTTTTGTTGAGCTATTGATCAAAGTTAGTTGGAGTTGACACAGGTGGCCGTGGGTGAAATGTAGGTGGCTGTATTTTTGTTTGTTCTTATTGATCAAAGTTAGTTGGAGTTGACACAGGCGGCCGTGGGTGAAATGTAGGTGGCTGTATTTTTGTTGTGTTATTGATCAAAGTTAGTTGGAGTTGACACAGGCGGTCGTGGGTGAAATGTAGGTGGCTGTATTTTTGTTGAATTATTGATCAAAGTTAGTTGGAGTTGACACAGGCGGCCGTGGGTGAAATGTAGGTGGCTGTATTTTTGTTGAATTATTGATCAAAGTTAGTTGGAGTTGACACCGGTGGCCGTGGGTGAAATGTAGGTGGCTGTATTTTTGTTTGTTCTTATTGATCAAAGTTAGTTGGAGTTGACACACGCGGTCGTGGGTGAAATGTAGGTGGCTGTATTTTTGTTGTGTTATTGATCAAAGTTAGTTGGAGTTGACACAGGCGGCCGTGGGTGAAATGTAGGTGGCTGTATTTTTGTTGAGTTATTGATCAAAGTTAGTTGGAGTTGACACAGGCCGTCGTGGGTGAAATTTAGGTGGCTGTATTTTTGTTGTGTTATTGATCAAAGTTAATTGGAGTTGACACAGGCGGTAGTGGATGAAATGTAGGTGGCTGTATTTTTGTTGTGTTATTGATCAAAGTTAGTTGGAGTTGACACAGGCGGCCGTGGGTGAAATGTAGGTGGCTGTATTTTTGTTGTGTTATTGATCAAAGTTAGTTGGAGTTGACACACGCGGCCGTGGGTGAAATGTAGGTGGCTGTATTTTTGTTGTGTTATTGATCAAAGTTAGTTGGAGTTGACACAGGCGGTCGTGGATGAAATGTAGGTGGCTGTATTTTTGTTGAGTTATTGATAAAAGTTAGTTGGAGTTGACACAGGCGGCCGTGGGTGAAACGTAGGTGGCTGTATTTTTGTTGACTTATTGATCAAAGTTAGTTGCAGTTGACACAGGCAGTAGTGGATGAAATGTAGCTGGCTGTATTTTTGTTGACTTATTGATCAAAGTTAGTTGGAGTCGACACAGGCGGCCGTGGGTGAAACGTAGGTGGCTGTATTTTTGTTGTGTTATTGATCAAAGTTAGTTGGTGTTGACACAGGTGGTCGTGGGTGAAATGTAGGTGGCTGTATTTTTGTTGTTCTTATTGATCAAAGTTAGTTGCAGTCGACACAGGTGGCCGTGGGTGAAATGTAAGTGGCTGTATTTTTGTTGTGTTATTGATCAAAGTTAGTTGGAGTTGACACAGGCGGCCGTGGGTGAAATGTAGGTGGCTGTATTTTTGTTGTTCTTATTGATCAAAGTTAGTTGGAGTTGACACAGGCGGCCGTGGGTGAAATGTAGGTGCCTGTATTTTTGTTGAGTTATTGATCAAAGTTAGTTGGAGTTGACACAGGCGGCCGTGGGTGAAATGTAGGTGGCTGTATTTTTGTTGAGTTATTGATCAAAGTTAGTTGGAGTTGACACAGGCGGTAGTGGATGAAATGTAGGTGACTGTATTTTTGTTGAGTTATTGATCAAAGTTAGTTGGAGTTGACACAGGCGGCCGTGGATGAAATGTAGGTGGCTGTATTTTTGTTGAGTTATTGATCAAAGTTAGTTGGAGTTGACACAGGCGGCCGTGGGTGAAATGTAGGTGGCTGTATTTTTGTTGAGTTATCGATCAAAGTTAGTTGGAGTCGACACAGGTGGCCGTGGATGAAATGTAGGTGGCTGTATTTTTGTTGAGTTATTGATCAAAGTTAGTTGGTGTTGACACAGGTGGCCGTGGGTGAAATGTAGGTGGCTGTATTTTTGTTGAGTTATTGATCAAAGTTTAGTTGGAGTTGACACAGGCGATCGTGGGTGAAATGTAAGTGGCTGTATTTTTGTTGTGTTATTGATCAAAGTTAGTCGGTGTTGACACACTCGGTCGTGGGTGAAACGTAGGTGGCTGTATTTTTGTTGAGTTATTGATCAAAGTTAGTTGGAGTTGACACAGGTGGCCGTGGGTGAAATGTAGGTGGCTGTATTTTTATTGAGTTATTGATCAAAGTTAGTTGGAGTTGACACACGCGGCCGTGGGTGAAACGTAGGTGGCTGTATTTTTGTTGTGTTATTGATCAAAGTTAGTTGGAGTTGACACAGGCGGCCGTGGGTGAAATGTAGGTGGCTGTATTTTTGTTGAGTTATTGATCAAAGTTAGTTGGAGTTGACACAGGCGGCCGTGGGTGAAATGTAGGTGGCTGTATTTTTGTTGTGTTATTGATCAAAGTTAGTTGGAGTCGACACAGGCGGCCGTGGGTGAAATGTAAGTGGCTGTATTTTTGTTGAGTTATTGATCTAAGTTAGTTGGAGTTGACACAGGCGGCCGTGGGTGAAATGTAGGTGGCTGTATTTTTGTTGAGTTATTGATCAAAGTTAGTTGGAGTTGACACAGGCGGCCGTGGGTGAAATGTAGGTGGCTGTATTTTTGTTGAGTTATTGATCAAAGTTAGTTGGAGTTGACACAGGTGGTCGTGGGTGAAATGCAGGTTGCTGTTTTTTGTTGTTGTTATTATTGATCAAAGTTAGTTGGAATTGACACAGGCGGCCGTGGGTGAAATGTAGGTGGCTGTATTTTTGTTGAGTTATTGATCAAAGTTAGTTGAAGTTGACACAGGCGGTAGTGGATGAAATGTAGGTGGCTGTATTTTTGTTGAGTTATTGATCAAAGTTAGTTGGAGTTGACACGCGGCCGTGGGTGAATTGTAAGTGGCTGTATTTTTGTTGTGTTATTGATCAAAGTTAGTTGTAGTTGACACAGGCGGTCGTGGATGAAATGTAGGTGGCTGTATTTTTGTTGAGTTATTGATCAAAGTTAGTTGGAGTTGACACAGGCGGCCGTGGGTGAAATGTAGGTGGCTGTATTTTTGTTGTGTTATTGATCAAAGTTAGTTGGTGTTGACACAGGTGGCCGTGGATGAAATGTAGGTGGCTGTATTTTTGTTGAGTTATTGATCAAAGTTAGTTGGAGTTGACACAGGCCGTCGTGGGTGAAATTTAGGTGGCTGTATTTTTGTTGTGTTATTGATCAAAGTTAGTTGGAGTTGACACAGGCGGTAGTGGATGAAATGTAGGTGGCTGTATTTTTGTTGTGTTATTGATCAAAGTTAGTTGGAGTTGACACAGGCGGCCGTGGGTGTAATGTAGGTGGCTGTATTTTTGTTGTGTTATTGATCAAAGTTAGTTGGAGTTGACACAGGCGGCCGTGGGTGAAATTTCGGTGGCTGTATTTTTGTTGTGTTATTGATCAAAGTTAGTTGGAGTCGACACAGGTGGCCGTGGATGAAATGTAGGTGGCTGTATTTTTGTTGAGTTATTGATCAAAGTTAGTTGGAGTTGACACAGGCGATCGTGGGTGAAACGTAGCTGGCTGTATTTTTGTTGAGTTATTGATCAAAGTTAGTTGGAGTCGACACACGCGGCCGTGGGTGAAATGTAGGTGGCTGTATTTTTGTTGAGTTATTGATCAAAGTTAAATGGAGTTGACACAGGTGGCCGTGGGTGAAATGTACGTGGCTATATTTTTGTTTGTTCTTATTGATCAAAGTTAGTTGGAGTTGACACAGGCGGTAGTGGATGAAACGTAGGTGGCTGTATTTTTGTTTGTTCTTATTGATCAAAGTTAATTGATGTTGCTTGTCCCATCTTGAGAACATTAAAAACCCAACGTCGGAATGTGACAAGATGGAAAACCATCACGTTACCAATTCCCCTTGACGTGGTGTCTGTCGCCTCTGCATTTTGGCACACCACCAGTTGTTATTTCTCCGCGGCTAATGCTGTTTTACCCTTCCCTCGATTACCATCTCCGCTTTCTCTCCGCGTATGCTGGCCCCGGGGGAGCTCGTTCCTCGCGGCGCTTCGCTCTGATACCGGCATGCTTGGCAGAGCCAATTTGAAACCTTTAAAACATCCTGCTTTCAGTGGCCCCCCCCAACCTCACCCCCTTATTTTCCACATGATAACGGTCAAATTAAAATTAAAATACTCGACAGCAACAACACGTTGAGATTGTACTCAGGCTTACACTCACATGCGAAAGACCCACGAAATTTGATTTGCCTGCAAGTCACGAAACGCTTTTGAATCGAAATAAAAATCTGAAATACAAGTTTAACATTTTTTTTACACAAATGTTAAAAAAATAATAATAATAATACAAACGGCCACCTGAAATGCGGCCAGGTGAGTTCTAGAGTCGTGTCACTCTTTAACTAATTCATAGTCAAGGTTTATCGATGATAGTTAGTTGGTGTTGACATAGTCAGCCGTGGCTGTCGTTGAGCATCGAATTGAGTGAGAAGTTGGGGCGACCGTCTGCGCTCGGAGTAAATGTTCACGTGACATTAGGGGCAGTCCATAAATGACGTCACGCGATTTTGGACGATTTTTGACCCCCCACCCTCAAATATGACGTCACAAAGCTCTACCCCCCCCTCCCCCCAGAAAAAAACACGCTTCAAATCTCTTTAAACTATCGTCATTGTAGTAGCGTGTATTTAATGTGGCGCCGCACTCTGATGTTGTAGGAGAAAACATTTATTTAAAAATGTAATTAAGTAGAACGTGTTGTCCGTATTTATTTATTTATAAAGTTGCCGCATTTTGATGTGACGTCACATTTCTCAAACCCCCTCCCCCACCCCCCCGCATCGTCACACATCGTCACAAATGTCTGACCCCACCCCCCCTAGATGCGTGACGTCATTTATGGACGGCCCCTTATTACGCAGACGTGCGTACAAAAACACACTGCGCGTGCTCCACTTGAAGTCTGGCAAGGAATGTGAAATGAGGTCACCTGTCACCTGCCCCGAAGGGTTTCCGAACGTCACGAAACCACCGTCGGGATGAGTGACGTGTCGCACGTGATTTCCAGGAATCTGAACGTGCCCCGATCACAGAGGAGCGTTTGTGCTCAACAGGCTCTTGTGTAGGACACAGCGGGACCAGAAACGTCAACAACAACAACAACAGCCACAACAACTGGGGGTGGGCGAGTGAATGAAACGTCGCGACTTCGGCTATCTTGGGGTTGCAAGTGTGAACTGGGCAAGAGCTGGACTGGGTAGGAGTCGCGGGGAGTTGGTGGTGAGGAGAGACGGGGCAGCGTCATGCACCAGTGGAGGAGCATTCTGGTGCTGGGTGGAATGATCCTCGTGGTGAGTTACCTCTCATTATCATATATTACTTCTCATTAGCCCTATTAATTAGTATTACTCCTATTACTTCTTGTTACTCCTATTACTTCTTATTATCATATATTACTTCTCATTACTCCTATTACTTCTCATTAGCCCTATTAATTCTTATTACTCCTATTAATTCTTATTACTCCTATTACTTCTCATTATCCCTATTACTTCTCATTAGCCCTATTAATTATTATTACTCCTATTAATTCTTATTACTCCTATTACTTCTCATTAGCCCTATTAATTCTTATTACCTCTTATTACTTCTCATTAGGCCTATTAATTATTATTACTCCTATTAATTCTTATTACTCTTATTACTTCTCATTAGCCCTATTAATTATTATTACTCCTATTAATTCTTATTACTCCTATTACTTCTCATTAGCCCTATTAATTATTATTACTCCTATTACTTCTCATTAGCCCTATTAATTATTATTACTCTTATTACTTCTCATTATCATATATTACTTCTCATTAGCCCTATTAATTATTATTACTCCTATTAATTCTTGTTACTCCTATTACTTCTTATTACTCCTATTACTTCTAATACTCCTATTACTTCTCATTAGCCCTATTACTTCTTATTACTCCTATTACTTCTAATACTCCTATTACTTCTAATACTCCTATTACTTCTCATTAGCCCTATTAATTCTTATTACTCCTATTAATTCTTATTACTCCTATTACTTCTCATTAGCCCTATTAATTCTCATTACTCCTATACTTCTCATTACTCCTATTAATTCTTATTACTCCTATTACTTCTCATTACCCCTATTACTTCTCATTACTCCTATTACTTTTCATTATCATATATTACTTATCATTAGCCCTATTACTTCTCATTACTCCTATTACTTCTAATTACTCCTATTACTTCTAATTACTCCTATTACTTCTCATTACCCCTATTACTTTTCATTACTCCTATTAATTCTTATTACTCCTATTACTTCTCATTACCCCTATTACCTCTCATTTCCCCTATTTCCTCTCACTACCCCTATTACCTCTCATTACCCCTATTACCTCTCATTTCCCCTATTACCTCTCACTACCCCTATTACCCCTCTTTGTGGGGGGTTGGGGGAGCAGTGGTGGGGGATCCTGGAGGGGTGGACTCGGTAAGATGGATGAATATTTATATATACATGGTTCTTTTTAAGACTTTGTGGAATAGCCCAGCGTGCTGTTGCTGCTTCTGCGATGACAATACAACATTGCACCAAGACCTTAACAGCGAACTCAGCCTCCTGAACTTCCTCATGGCAGCCTGTTAAGGTAATGGCAATGCCTTTGTAGAGGCGACATTGGGGTTTCGTGTGATTAAGCTCGGGACGAGTCAACTTCTAAACTGCGAGGTTTAACTCGCGAGCTGAAAACGTGCCGAGAGGATGTCTGAATTCGCCGCTGCGTGGTTTGCTTGTGCAAACAGGGTCCCTGCAGGGTGGGCCGGTAGGAACATTGGAATTTTGCGCAATTTTAATTTTTACACCCCAGCAGCACGAGATTTCACTTCGTTAAAGTATTGAAAGGGGACGGACGGACGGACACATTAATCTATTGCAGGCTGGTACACTCAGTTTATAACTTCGTGCCTACCAGTATAAAGGATGTCAGTGACAAGAGAGTGACTCTCAATGACGTCACTCACGTGGTTAAATAAAGGATGACAGCGACAAGAGAGTGACTCTCAATGACGTCACTCACGTGGTTAAATAAAGGATGTCAGTGACAAGAGAGTGACTCTCGACGACGTCACTCACGTGGTTAAATAAAGGATGACAGTCACACGAGATTTCACTTCGTTAAAGTATTGAAAGGGGACGGACGGACAGACGGACACATTAATCTATTGCAGGCTGGTACACTCAGTTTACAATCTTCGTGCCTACCAGTATAAAGGATGACAGTGACAAGAGAGTGACTCTCAATGACGTCACTCACGTGGTTAAATAAAGGATGTCAGCGACAAGAGAGTGACTCCCAATGACGTCACCCACGTGGTTAAATAAAGGATGACAGTGACAAGAGAGTGACTCTCAATGACGTCACTCACGTGGTTAAATAAAGGATGTCAGTGACAAGAGAGTGACTCCCAATGACGTCACTCACGTGGTTAAATAAAAGGATGACAGTCACACGAGATTTCACTTCGTTAAAGTATTGAAAGGGGATGGACGGACGGACACATTAATCTATTGCAGGCTGGTACACTCAGTTTACAATCTTCGTGCCTACCAGTATAAAGGATGTCAGTGACAAGAGAGTGACTCTCAATGACGTCACTCACGTGGTTAAATAAAGGATGACACTGACAAAGAGAGTGACTCTCAATAACGTCACTCACGTGGTTAAATAAATGATGTCAGTCACACGAGATTTCACTTCGTTAAAGTATTGAAAGGGGACGGACGGACGGACACATTAATCTATTGCAGGCTGGTACACTCAGTTTACAATCTTCGTGCCTACCAGTATAAAGGATGTCAGTGACAAGAGAGTGACTCTCAATGACGTCACCCACGTGGTTAAATAAAGGATGTCAGTGACAAGAGAGTGACTCTCAATGACGTCACTCACGTGGTTAAACAAAGGATGTCAGTGACAAGAGAGTGACTCTCAATGACGTCACTCACGTGGTTAAATAAAAGGATGACAGTCACACGAGATTTCACTTCGTTAAAGTATTGAAAGGGGACGGACGGACGGACACATTAATCTATTGCAGGCTGGTACACTCAGTTTACAATCTTCGTGCCTACCAGTATAGGCGAGCGCCATCTCCAGCATTATTGTGGGGTCACATTCACACACCGTCAAGCAGTCCACGCATCATGAGCAGTCGGAGATTCTATCCCGGGTTGAAAGGTGAATGGGCGGAGCTAGCATGGAAGCTTCCGGAACATTCTCCAAGGCTCCCAGAGGGGGCGTGGCCAGGGGCGGGGCTTAGCCTGAGGATCAAAGAGGGGCTCCCCCGTCACTGCTGGTCCTGCCATCTCCACCTGCTCCACCTGCTCCACCTGCTCCACCTCCACCTGCTCCACCTCCACCTGCTCCACCTCCCACCTGCTCCACCTCCACCTGCTCCACCTGCTCCACCTGCTCCACCTGCTCCACCTCCACCTGCTCCACCTCCACCTGCTCCACCTCCCACCTGCTCCACCTCCACCTGCTCCACCTGCCACCTGCTCCACCTGCCACCTGCCACCTGCCACCTGCCACCTGCTCCACCTGCTCCACCTGCCACCTGCTCCACCTGCTCCACCTGCTCCACCCCCACCTGCTCCACCTCCACCTGCTCCACCTCCCACCTGCTCCACCTCCACCTGCTCCACCTCCACCTGCTCCACCTCCCACCTGCTCCACCTCCACCTGCTCCACCTCCCACCTGCTCCACCTCCCACCTGCTCCACCTCCCACCTGCTCCACCTGCCACCTGCCACCTGCCACCTGCCACCTGCTCCACCTGCTCCACCTGCCACCTGCTCCACCTGCTCCACCTGCTCCACCCCCACCTGCTCCACCTGCCACTTGCTCCACCTGCCACCTGCTCCACCTGCTCCACCTGCCACCTGCTCCACCTGCTCCACCTGCTCCACCTCCCACCTGCTCCACCCCCACCTGCTCCACCTGCCACTTGCTCCACCTGCCACCTGCTCCACCTGCTCCACCTGCCACCTGCTCCACCTGCTCCACCTGCTCCACCTCCCACCTGCTCCACCTCCACCTGCTCCACCTGCTCCACCTGCTCCACCTGCTCCACCTGCTCCACCTCCACCTGCTCCACCTGCTCCACCTGCTCCATCTCCACCTGCTCCACCTGCTCCACCTGCTCCACCTGCTCCACCTGTTCCACCTCCACCTGCTCCACCTGCTCCACCTGCTCCACCTGCTCCACCTCCACCTGCTCCACCCCCACCTGCTCCACCTGCTCCACCTCCACCTGCTCCACCTCCACCTGCTCCACCTGCTCCACCTGCTCCACCCCCTTCCGCTCGAGCCGCTCCACAACGCTTGCCGCTCGCCGGCGGTGCGGTTCAGAGTGGGGTCGAGCACCAGCACCACCACCAGCAGCACCATGACAGCGGGTCGGCGTCAGCGGAACGAGAGGAGTGGCTGTGCCAAGGACTTTGAAAATAATAATAATAATAATGACCAAATTTTGATTTAAAGCTTTCGTGACTGCAGTAATTCATATTCTTAGTTGAGGACATTCAAAAAAAGGTAGCTTGCCATCTTTTTCGACTTCCATGGTAAATCTGGTGGCTGGGTGTATGGAATTGATGTGGTCGAGGAATTGGTCTAGAGCAGGCCGGCCATGTGGCCAGATGACAAAAGTGTCATCCAAGTCCCTCTTCCATAAGGTTGGGCGCGGAGTGGCAGTCTGGATGGCGTCAGTCTCAAATTTCTCCCTGAAAATGTTGGCTACAACCGGAGATATGGAGGAGCCCTTTGGGGTGCCCTCAGTTTGTTTGTAGAAAGTTCCATTCCAAGTGAAGTATGTATTGGTTAAGCAGTGTCTCACCAGGGGGGGTACCTCAGTGTTTAGTCCTTGATGAACCAAGTATTCAATGATTGCGATGGTGTCAGGTACAGGAACTTTGGTGAATAAGGAAACTACATCAAAACGTTTGATTTAAAGCTTTCGTGACTGCAGTAATTCATATTCTTAGTTTTTTCGGTAAAGTCACGTTGAAGAGAAACAACAAAATAACAAAATATATATAAAACAATAAAAAATTCTCACGACGTTTCGACCATAACTCAAACGGTCATCATCAAACCGACACACCTGATGATGACCGTTTGAGTTATGGTCGAAACGTCGTGAGAATTTTTTATTGTTTTATATATATTTTGTTATTTTGTTGTTTCTCTTCAACGTGACTTTACCGAAAAAACTAAGAATAATAATGACCAAGTTAAATTTTGACTTAAAGCTTTCGTGACTGCAGTAATTCATATTCTTAGCTCTTTCGGTAAAGTCACCACGTTGAAGGGAAACAATAAAATAAAAATAATAATAAATCTTCTTTGGTTCTTTCGGTAAAGTCACGTAGAATGAGAATAAAGTAATAAATTGATTTATTATTTAATTTATTATTTTATTCTCATTCTACGTGGGTGGTGACTTTACCGAAAGAACCAAAGAAGATGAATCATTGCAGTCACGAAAGCTTTAAATCGAAATAATAATATATATAAAACAGTAAAAATTCTCACGTCGTTTCGACCATAACACCTGATGACGACCGTTTGTGTTATGGTCGAAACGTCGTGAGAATTTTTTTATTGTTTTACATGTATTTTATTATTTTATTGTTTCCCTTCAACGTGGTGACTTTACCGAAAGAGCTAAGAATATGAAATACCGAAGTTATTTACCGTCTCGGAGCCACTTATTGCACTAGGGCTGATCTTTCCATCGGAATGTGCTTTTATTTCTACCCATTAATCATCAAATCATTCCGGCAGGGTGATGATCGATTCGACATACAAGGCGTGCGTGTGTCTTGTCTGAAGACAATTCTCCGCCCAATTTTGTTTTTTTATTTTTTTACCCGAGTTGGTGAACACCAGGTATGGATGGATTCGGGACACAAAGTGGCAATACTCACAAACTCATCGCGGAAACAACAGCGGCAAAGCCTTCCTGAAAGCACCGGCACTGTCGCAGCTGGCAGAGTGGAGACGTCTCGCGACGTCGCTCGCGGTGACTCCATTCTGCGTGGATGTTCTCTGCAGGTGTGTTATGCACTGCAGGAGCTGTCAGCCGGTGACTCCATTCTGCGTGGATGTTCTCTGCAGGTGTGTTATGCACTGCAGGAGCTGTCAGCCGGTGACTCCATTCTGCGTGGATGTTCCCTGCAGGTGTGTTATGCACTGCAGGAGCTGTCAGCCGGTGACTCCATTCTGCGTGGATGTTCTCTGCAGGTGTGTTATGCACTGCAGGAGCTGTCAGCCGGTGACTCCATTCTGCGTGGATGTTCTCTGCAGGTGTGTTATGCACTGCAGGAGCTGTCAGCCGGTGACTCCATTCTGCGTGGATGTTCTCTGCAGGTGTGTTATGCACTGCAGGAGCTGTCAGCCGGTGACTCCATTCTGCGTGGATGTTCTCTGCAGGTGTGTTATGCACTGCAGGAGCTGTCAGCCGCCACAGATTGTGGAAATGGATTCTACAAATCGCCACAAGGAGTCTGCTGTGAGCTGTGTCGTGCAGGTAAAGCGACGCCAAGACACGGAGACCCACAATCCCGGTGGTGACCGGTTGCTTCCGTTAAACCACCAAGTCACGGCTCAGCTCCTGTGGAAAGGAAACTAAAATGGAATTAACTTTCCCCCTCCCCGTGACCTGGCAACAATTTGGATGTCAATGGTGGATACTGAAAGAAAGAAACGTGTTTTCAGTCGGGGCATTGTGCTCTTGATCACACCTGAGACATGTTGACTTGCCAGTGCAGCTCGATCTCACCAACTTGTGGCCGTGTGTTTGTGTTTGCAACAACTCCGTTGCTTGCTCACACCTCTTTGCCTTTCAGGGATGCACAAAGTGGCGGACTGCATCGGTGATGGAATGGGCGCCTTGTGTGAGCCGTGCCCGAGAGGCAGATTCATGGACAGGGACAGCCAGGAGGAGGTGTGCTCGCAATGCAGCAGCTGTGGACCAGGTAGATGACAGCACAGCAAGTGGGTTGCTGCCGTAGATGTGAATTGTGTTTGACATTTGTAGTTTTTCAATGCGTGGCAGGTTTGGTCTGCATACTCCCAATTCAACCAGCATTAAAAAAAAAACACGGGGAAAACTTAACAAGGAACCTGAACGAATATTCCAAGCAAGACAATCCCACCTCAAATTATATTCCAATTGTTGTAATCAGAAATCTTGAAAATAGAGCTGGGCTCATAGTCTTGATCGGACGAGACACAATTCGCCTCCTTCTAATGAAATTAAGTAGAGGATCATGCCCGCAGTGAATCGCGCAGCCAGACGGTCAGAAAGGCGAGGACCAACAGGCTGCACATCTAAAAACGCCAATCCCAAAGGGAATTACAGGGTGGAGGGTGTGACCATGTCTGCGAGTGGGTACATTCACATGGTGGGTGAGACCAAAGCAATCAAGCGGAGCCAAGATGCCCCCCGCAGACAAGGAGCAATTCCTGGTGTCGACACGGATGTTGAAGTCACGTGGGTAAAAAAATAAAACAACAAAAATCACGACGTTTCGGCCACAACACAAGTGGCCTTTATCAGGTGAAGGGACCAGACTGTCTCTTCACCTGATTAAGGCTACTTGTGTTGTGGCCGAAACGTCGTGATTTGTGTTGTTTTATTTTTTTACCCACTACGTGACTTTAGCGAATGGAACCAGAGGGTATGGATCCTTGCAGTCACGAAAGCTTCAATTATAGAATGGATGTTGAAGTCGTCCAGAATAAGCATCCTGTCATAGGTTGGGCACATCACGGTGATGAGCTCGGCAAACTCGTGGAGGAGCAGACTGGTTGACTTTGGAGGACGATATCTCGGTACCAGTAGCACGGCACCGGGATACTTCTCCACGCAAAAACAAAAACACTCAAACTCTCAGCTAGGAGGAATAGTAGTGTAGCACATAGCCTAATGTATATTATTGTAGTGTATAGTGCAGTGTATAGTGTCGTTTGTAGTACTGAAGTGTAGTATATAGGAGTGTATAATTAAGTATATGGTGTAGTGTATAGCGTAGTGTATAGTGGAGTGTATAGTGTAGTCTGTAGTACTGAAGTGTAGTATATAGGAGTGTAAAATTTAGTATATGGTGTAGTGTATAGCGTAGTGTATAGTGTAGTGTATAGTGTAGTTTGTAGTACTGAAGTGTAGTATATAGGAGTGTATAATTTAGTATATGGTGTAGTGTATAGCGTAGTGTATAGTGCAGTGTATAGTGTAGTCTGTAGTACTGAAGTGTAGTATATATGAGTGTATAATTAAGTATATGGTGTAGTGTATAGCATGGTTTATAATCGTGTAGTGTATAGTGGAGTGCATCATCATCATCATCATCACGATCCATGGGCATATAAACCCGTACATTCCGTCATTGGTTTCCACTTGCCCTTGTCTTGTACCAATTTGCTCGTGGCCACATCGTCCTGGCACCAATCTCTTTCAATGTCGTCAACCCATTTACTCCGCTAGTTCTTCCTCTCTTTCCGGTTACTTCTATTTTTCCAAACAACAACAACAACAACACTTTTAATTTTTTTTATGAGACCTCTTTTGCCAGTAACAAGATATAGTAATAGGTTTTTACCCTTTTAACTGGCACAAAAAAACTGACACCTTTATTCAAGGCATCATGTTTGCAATAGCCACAACACATGCATTTTGACTGCTTGTGTTGTGGTTATTGCAGACATGATGCCTTGAATAAAGGTGTCAGTTTTTGTGCCAGTTAAAAGGGTAAAACCTATTACTATATCTTGTTACTGGCAAATGAGATCTCATAATGTAAATGCTCAATCCCGAGCACCATCAATAACTCTGATAGTGCGCTGTTTTTGAGTTGTACGCCTTTTGGCGTCTTCTGGTCCAACACCAGTGGAGAGACTAAGGGGCTCTAAGAAAAGCCGTCTCGGGTGTGGACCAATCAAATTCAAGGACAGTGCCAATATCATTATCAGAGTTGTCTATTTTGTTTGTTTGCATTTTGACTGCTTGTGTTGTGGTTATTGCAGACACGATGCCTCGAATAAAGGTGTCAGTTTTTGTGCCAGTTAAAAGGGTAAAAACCTATTACTACTACAACACTTGTAATGTTCCTGCTGTTGTCCATCCTATATATTATTATTATTATGGGTTCAGTAATAATGTCCTGCCCATGACAATAACTCAGAATTGGACCAAATCTCCTGAGTTCTCAGAAGCGAGACAGGGTTGAGCCTGGACAGTGCCCTGATTGGTAATCACCGTGCATATGAATTTTATATATAATAAAAAAATCTTGCTTTCTATTCAACATTCCCCAAATTTTCTGCAAAAAAAAAAAACCTCCCAAATCAATCGGCACATGTGCCTACGTTACAACTTGATTTTATTTTATTTCTTGGGCGGTGGAGGGTTATAGTTGTCTAAAATCTACGTACAAAATCTACCCCCAAAAATCTTCTTCATGAAAGCCTACGTAATGAAAACAAAACAGATTCTCTAGCCTGGTGCGGCACCACATTACAGGGCACTGCGGCGACAACCATTGTTGTAGTGTACTATGCAGCCACGTCTATGGGCCTTTCCTGCATCAAGACGCTTCGACCAGTGTGGAGACGTGTGGAGCCAAATAACCCCGAAAATGGACGAAATGGCTGTGCAACTCGTGAAACGACACCGATACAACTCTAGGCCCGGCTTCTATCTCGCGTACCCACCCCCCCCCCCCCCCCCCCCCCCCCCCCTTGTGCTCCCTCATTGTATCCCTCTCGAGCCCTTTCCCTCCAACCTTCTGCTCAGCAAATCTGCAAACCTGTTCATGGGGGGGTCGGAGATTGGATCACCGTTTTTTTCCCCCTAATGATGGCAATAGGAGAAACAACAACAACAACCGCCATTCGCCACTAAGTGGCGGTGACGTCACCACGATGCTTGTGCCAGGCTATGTGCACCCTGAGGCCACGTGAAGTGTCGAACGCCCGCTGGCAGGAGGTCACGGGGCAGACCCAGGTGCCACGGGTCGACTGACTGAGATGACTGGCTGATGCACCACCTGTGCCCCCTACTGTGCCAACCCGCTGTGCTTTAGCCACCCGGCGCTCCGCTCGCTGTTGTGAGCGTCGCTCCTCCGCCCTCCGTTGTTGTTGGAGGGCGACTGCCTCCAACTGCCCAGTAGCATCCTTCACGAGCCTCCTCCACAGAGGCCGATCTTGACACCGCTGGTACCAGTCATGGGCAAGTCCACTCAGCTCCACGTCCTCCTGTACCACATCACTCCATCACCACGATGCTTGTGCCAGGCTATGTGCACCCTGAGGCCACGTGAAGTGTCGAACGCCCGCTGGCAGGAGGTCACGGGGCAGACCCAGGTGCCACGGGTCGACTGACTGAGATGACTGGCTGATGCACCACCTGTGCCCCCTACTGTGCCAACCCGCTGTGCTTTAGCCACCCGGCGCTCCGCTCGCTGTTGTGAGCGTCGCTCCTCCGCCCTCCGTTGTTGTTGGAGGGCGACTGCCTCCAACTGCCCAGTAGCATCCTTCACGAGCCTCCTCCACAGAGGCCGATCTTGACACCGCTGGTACCAGTCATGGGCAAGTCCACTCAGCTCCACGTCCTCCTGTACCACATCACTCCATCTCTTCTCTAGCCCATGCCGCGCCCGCTCAGCCCCCTCAATCCGGCTAAACAAAAGCTGTTTTGGCATGCGGTGGCTGGGCATGCGGGCTACATGACCCAGCCATCGCAGCCTTGCCTGCCGGAGGAGCTCACCGATGGGACCCTGCCCAGATCTTTCAAGGATTTGTGAGCTCCTCACACAATCCAGTCTGGTTAAACCCAGGATGGATCGTAGGCAGGCCAGCCTAAATGTTTCCAACCGGCGAAGATGCTCCACCAGGGGGGTCCACGTTTCGCAAGCGTAGAGAAGGGAGGGAATGACCGTGGCCGAGAAGACCTGAAGCTTAGTGCGGAGCGACAGACCAGGTAGCTTCCACACAGCGTTACGCAACCGATGAAAAGATATTGCCGCTCGACTGATTCGGAGTGAGACCTCTGCTGTTAAACTGGAGCCAGTCATAAGCACACTGCCCAGGTATGGGAAACTCTCCACTCTCTCCACAACTGCCCCATCACCGATTGGGAGTTGTGGGGGTGGAGTGTCCGATGGTACAAAATACCCAGGCAGGTGCTTAGTTTTGGTGGGGCTGATGGTAAGGCCCCACCTCTTAGTGGCACGCTCCAGTCTCAGCAGCAGCGTCTCCAACTCCTCCTCTGACTGAGCAGCTATTACCAAGTCATCAGCATACATAACGTGGTTGAGCAATAGGGAGCCATCCCTTGACCGCACCCGGGCATCGATTAGCCTCCCATTATATCTGTACCATATGGAGATTCCCCCGGTACAGCTATTGAAGGCTTCACGAACTACGTGGTCAAAATAGATGTTCAATAATGTGGGAGCCAGAGGACATCCCTGTCGCACCCCAAGGTGTACAGGGAATGGCTCTGACTCCCGGCCACGTAGTTTTACCCGGGCCCGCTCACCATCATGAAGGTCCTTAATGATCGTGAGCAGAGGGTCAGGTACTCCAAAAGCACGAAGAACGACCCAGAGCCCAGGCCTACTGATGGTATCATAGGCCTTGACCAGGTCAATAAAGCAGAGATGTAGGTCTTGTTGGAATTCCCTACACCTCTGCTGTAGCAGACGGACAGAAAATATGGCATCTGTGCAGGACCGCCCTTTCCTGAAACCGCATTGGGGCTCCGCAAGCCTCTCCTCAGCGTGCCTGGCAAGGCGATACTGAATAATCCTTTCCAGGACCTTTCCCGGCACACTGAGGAATGAGATGCCCCTGTAGTTGTTACAGTCTGTGCGGTCCCCCTTCTTAAAAAGGGGGACCACCAGGGCATCCTTCCAATCCTGCGGAACCCGTCCAGTGGTCCAGACTGTTGTTATGATGTCATATAGGGCAGTCTGTGCACAAACGCCACCCTCCCTCAGCATTTCGCTTGGGAGATCATCTCTGCCCGCTGCCTTTCCTGGTCTCAGACTCCGGATCGCCTTCAATACTTCCTCAGCAGATGGCACCTCAGCCAGCCACTCACAGGGGGTGACTTCATTCAATATTTGAGGCACCGCAGCCTCAGCAGGGTCATCCTCACTTTGTGCCACGATGTTTTCCTGGCTGAGGGATTTTCCCTCCCCCAGGAACTCACAGAAATGCTCAGCAAATCTGCGAACCTGTTCCTGGGGGTCGGAAATCGGATCACCGTTTTTTCCCCTAATGATGGTAATAGGTGTGGCGCTGCAGGTTACTTTTTTGATGGAGTTAAATAGAGATTTGTGATCACGGGCCACTGAGGCAGACTCCATCTCCTCAGCAACCCGCGACCACCACCCATCCTTGCAGCGCCTCACGGCTCTCCGAACCTCCGAGCGAAGGCTGCGGTAAGCCTCCTCATTCTCTGACGTGGGATTCTGTAGCCGATGACAGTGGGCCTGTCGCTTTTTCTCAACCATCGCGAACAACTCCTCTGTCATCCAGGGTGTCTGGGGAGGTCTGGACCGCGTACCCAAAGCAGCCATTGCAGCTGCATGAGTCACAGTCCTAAACCTCGCCCATTTACCCTCGACATCAGGAGGAGTCGGGGACGATGCCAATCCCAGCCGCAAGCGATGATGAAATTCTCGCTTGCAACTTTCATCAGATAACTGAGACCAGGCCACTTTAGGTTGGAATGGGGTCCTGGGTGTACACCCACCACCGGAGTGGAAGAATGGCAGGCGCATCTTACAGATGACTAGTCGATGGTCAGAGGGCAGATCAGCTCCACAGTAGGTCCTGCTGTCAAGGACATGGGCTCGCATTCGCTGGTCCGTCACTATGTAGTCCAGCAGATGTTCTTGCTTGGACCCGGCATGCATCCATGATGTTGTGTGGATGCGCCGATGCCGGAACAGCGTGTTGGTAATTACAAGCCCATGGGCTGCACAAAAAATCTAGCAGCCTCCTACCGTTGTTATTGAGCTGATCTGGCCCATGCCCTCCAATCACTCCAGACCAGGTGCCAGTATCATGACCAACTCGGGCATTGAAGTCACCCAACATGATGACTCTATCCCGAGGGGCCACTTTAGCCAGCACCTGTGACAGGAGGTCATAGAAGGCATCTGACTCATCGGCTTTGCCTGCATCCCTCCACGGATGTTCATCTTCGGTGGGGGCATAAGTAACCACGACCACCATTCCTCGCCTCCGGTTGATGGGAAGGCGAGCCCAAAGTAGCCTGGGGCTTACAGCTTCCCACACCTCACCGCCACGCTCCCACGCCCCCTTCATTCTTTTGTTCAAAAGAAGACCCACACCCTGTTGTTTGGCAGTCTGCTGCCCCGAGTAGAGGACTGTCCACCCCTCATGGTGGCAGGAGCCAGAGCCGGTCCACCGGACCTCCTGAATGCCGCATAGATCCAGGCGGTACCGGTCCAGCTCCCGACAGAGGAGTGGCAGCCTCTCCTCTGCAGTGAGCGTTCGAACATTCCACGTGGCCAACCGTAGTGGCTTTTCGTTGTTTCTGGAGTAGCCCCGAGGGTAGGTATTCAATCTCCTGGCTCCGCCAATTGGGGTTTGGCCAGGAGACGTCATAGACGCCTGGCCCCCCGGGGCCTCCGGCACAAGCTTAGTTGTTACATATTTCAGTTTAATTCGTAGTTTCGTGGTAATTAATTGAAGGTGGAGGGGTTACCAGCCCCTCGCATCCGTCCAGAGCCCCCGTTTTGCCCCTGTGGTGGACACATATGCCATGAGGGGAGGAGCCAATCAAAATTGGATCTCCCCCCACAGCGTTGTCCACGACAGAGTTGCCCGTCCGGCACCGCGAGGAGGTAGGGGGTTGTTTTGCCGGACACAACAACAATAGGAGAAACACACACACACATAAACACAGTGAGACACGTATAGAGAGAGAGACACACCTAGAGAGACAGAGAGAGACACGCAGAGAGAGACACACACAGAGACACACACAGAGACACACAGAGGGACACACACAGAGGGAGAGACACACAACAACATCACAGCCAGTTATAGTCTTCTAAAAAAACGAGAGCCACCGTCACATCAAGGGAAAAGGGACAACCTTGGTTTTGTTAGTGAGACATTTAGCCCGTTAATGCAAATACATTTAACTTGGTAATGTAAATTGGTAATGTAACTCAAAGAGTCGGAAATAACTGCTGACAATGGCAGGTAGAATGGAAACATCAACAACCAGTTAAGGCCCTCTCCCACCTGAAGACGATTACTTGCGTGGCGATCGAAACGTCGTGATTGATTTTATTTCTACCTACTGGACTTTACGGGAAAGAACCAAAGAGGATGGATTCCTGCAGTCACGAAAGCTTCAAATCAAGATTGCAAAAAAATCCATGTTGAACTTTTTTCACACCGTACGTAGCCAACCATCCGCGTTGAGACTGATCAACTTTCTCATTGCAGGCGAGGAGGTGGCTGTGAACTGCTCCGTGGCCCAGGACACGGTGTGTCGGTGCACGGAGGGGCTCCAGAGAGATGGCGATTCGGGATTTTGCCTGCCAGAGGATCCACGATCAGGTAGTAGTCGGCTTACAAAGCCGCTCAAGTCAACCACAATAAGCTGTTTTGTTTCTCAGCTGACAGTGGGAGCAAGGGGACAGCCTGGCAACTGAAACGGCAGAAGCTGTCCGCAGAAGAAGCCCGAATTGAAACTCAACCTCATGTCTATTGCAGGCTTCAGGGACTGCGTGGCATGATTTAAAGCTTTCGTGACTGCAAGGATTCATCTTCTTTGGTTCTTTCGGCAAAGTCACCACCACCACGTAGAATGAGAATAAAATAATGAATTAATAAAATAGCACAATAAAATTCTCACGACGTTTCGGCCACAACACAAGCGGCCTTTATCAGGTGAAGGGACGTGGCTTTGTTCGCTCCAGCGCTGTCCTCCAGACAGTCTCGTCCCTTCACCTGATGAAGGCCGCTTGTGTTGTGGCCGAAACGTCGTGAGAATTTTATTGTGTTATTTTATTAATTCATTATTTTATTCTCATTCTACGTGACCTTACCGAAAGAACCAAAGAAGGCTGCATGCATGGTCAAGCACAGCCACGTGTGTTGTTATCAGCTCACTACCCTGTGCAATACTGAACACCAAATCTGTATTGTCCCTACAAAGAAGTTTTAGGCTGGAGTCCCCTTGCATCGAAATCTGCACACTGGCTAAGAAAGCGTATTTACTTCTCATTTCAGAGGTTTGTGGTTCAAGCCAAACGGATACGCTAGTTAATTCTACTGGTGCATTCAACACAATTAAATGCGCCATCTCCTTTTATGGTGAATGATAGACGTCGTTCTTGGGGAAAGGCGAATGATTAAAAAAAACGTGAAACTGCTGCAAATGATCATCTTTGAAAAAGCGCATTCACGATATTTTTCGTGATAAAAAATGATAGAAATGATGGAAAGGGCACCGATTTAACAGGTTGATTTTGCTACAGGTTGTGTTAATGCAACGTACTGGATTCCCGTGCATTTCAATGCATGGAATAGACCTGAAAAGTAGGCGTAGAGGGGACTGTTGTTGACAGCTTGTGCTTTTGTCTCCTTCATAAAATTTCAGACGCCATAGTAGTCGCGTTGGCAACAATCCTCGGCTTCGTCCTGACTGGACTCCTGCTGTACATATTGTGCTTAAAGATGAAACTGAAGGGGTCGACTTTTAAGAAGATGTTGAAGCGTCCCGGTAAGTGGTCATGTTCCGTGATTAATCTAAAGATAAAATCCTGGAATTGTGGATAAAATTATACGTCGACTGAAAATATATTTTTACTCTCATTATACGTTAATTAAAATGCGTGGAGAAATGACGTCTCGGCACGAAGCCGCCTCTGAATGCTCTCTGCAGACACCACTGCACAGAATGATGAAAATGAGTTACATCCCTTTTGAGAGCTTTGGCTTCGGTGTCATTTGAAAGTCCCTTGGAGAGTGTTGCTACTGGTGACAGTCACCTCTGCCGTGCCTCCACTCACCCGACAATATTTCACACCCGCGTGAAGTCGTGTTGGACAGGACGCTCAATTGAAGCGTCGTCGTTACTTCGTTCTGTGCTTACCGCTCTTGTGACAAAGGGAGGAAGTTGACAATTGTCGAGGTCCCGAGGGACATCGAGGTAGGATTTGGACTGATTCAAAAACGACCGCAAAACTCTCTGTTCATGGTCTTTAGCCGCAGGTGATGACATTTTCATCTTGGCTATGCAATTATGCAACTTTACATTCCAGTTAAGGTCTATCCAATCTTAAACAAATATATATTTATTTATATAATGTTTTCTTTCACTCTAATATCGCCATGTGTAGTATGCTGTGTCCAATTATAGAATAGCTGATCGTTTTGGACCTATAAGAAAATGATACAACCATATCAACTGTGCTATAAATCCATGATAAACTAATTGTATCTTATTTCTTTCAGACACTACTCATACAAATAACGAGCATGATGAAAATCTACCGCTTGTTCATATCATGCGAAATGAACACAAGGTGCCATATGGAGTTCAGGTAAACTCAACGCAACATGGTGGCATGATGACCCTACTCTACATTGTTTCAGTGTGTCGGCATGCACCAGTACACTGAAAACTCCATCCCAGATAGACAGAAATAATCGTGACCGTGTCTTCTCCACACGCTACAGAGGAGCAATGAGAGCAGCGAGACAATGCAACAGATCCGAGTGAACAAAGAGAATCTCAAGGCCTGGCTCGGAGCGGATCCCTCGGCTTTCCTGGAGCATCTCAACGGCTTCAAATTGATTCCACGACACGTGCACCAAGCGGCCGTCGACAAGGGCGGAGAGGAGAGTGTGGAGCTCGTTCTGGACCACTTCATCAGCCAGGGAGAGGCACGCTGTGAGACGTTGTGGGACGCCCTCTACTCTGTGAGGAAGCAATACGTGCAGCTGTGGAAGTGGATTCAGTCACACGGTACGACCCACGTGAACGCACCGGTGTATTGACATCGAATGCCATTTTGTGAGAGTCGAGGAAGAAAAACCATGCATATGCCTGGCTTCCGTAATTGCTTTCCAACACGTAGTTCGTCCTCGGGGAAGTGATCGGAGACTACGACGCTACGTTTAAAGCCGCACAGGAATGATGTCATGCTGTGCGTGACTGAACGACTTCACGTCACACTTGACTGTTTAAGTACCAATATGAACCTAAATATGTTATACGTTGTGCCTTGATTCCAGAAGCACAATTGTAGCTGAATAGGATATAAACTCAATTAAAATCTGGGTTAAACGATTCGTTTGAAATTCATATGAGCCTCTGTCGATCGCAGGCGAGGCGCTGAGGGCCATTCGAGATAAGGAGTCGGATCTGAAGCTCTGGATCGCCAGAGACCCCAAGCATCTTCTGCTGCAGCTGATGAGTCGGGGACGGATCCCGAACGAGCTCTTCACCGAGGCCAAGGGCATCCGGGATGGCGCGGAGTGTGCGGAGCTTCTGCTCAACTTCTTCAAAGAGAGAGGGAATGACGACTGCCTCAAGCTGCTGTTTGCTCTGCAGGCCGTGCAGAACGAGTATCCTGGAGTCAAGGAGTGGCTGGGAGGCCTTGGTAACAAAACAATACATTTATAATCAACGTTTAATTTCAGACACAATCCACATTTGTCGTATTAACCGGCCATCATTCCTTCTGGTGACATGTCCTGCCCAGGGGCAATTAATTAACAAAGCAATGTCCTATAACCCATGCACTGTCGTCCTGTTTTTTCTACGTAATTTGAAACCGTGTACTTGTCCACGCTTTTATCACGCGCTTTCAATGCTGCTCATTTTAATTGTCAGTGTTCACGTGTCTGATCCGTACGTCATAGCAGGTAATGCGGGCCGATTAAAACTTTATTCTTCAGGCACATTGGTTACGTTACATTTAATTGAGAATAAGGGGGTTTTCACATTTTTTTCTGACAACAAAACTGAACCCTTTCTTTACAAGGAATCACGTGGTCCATTAACCACAATACTTGTGGTCAAAATGCAAACAAAAACACACACTGACGATATATGATGCATTGTCCTTGAAACTGATTGGTCCACAACCATAGACAGCTTTCTTTTGAGCCTCGTCTCAATTGGGGCTAGACCAGGGGACGCCACAAGTATTGTGGTGAATGCACCACGTGATTCCTCGTAAAAAAAGGTTTCAGTTTTGTTGCGAGAAAAAAAGGGGAAAACCCCTATTCTTATATTTTGGTACTGGCAAAGGAGGTCTAATGATGTAGTTACCATTCATTATTTTGTTCAAATTTTCCAAAAAGCACTCCAACCTGCTCTCATCCACCTTTGAAGGCTGAAACGGCGCCAATTGCCCCTTTTGTGGTGCCGCAGACTTCCTCCGGAGACTCTCCAACAAGTCCCCCCTGGTTCTGAACAAGTACAGCGACTTTGTCCTCCGAGACAAAATCCGCTTCAAGACGAGAGAGCTGCTCAGGGCACTGCACGACGACCTGACGCCTCTGCTCTCCCAACTGCAGATCAGGAACATCCTCACCGACAACAGCGTGCGGGTAAAGTCCAACTAAGATCATCGTCATCACAATCACGCGTAGCCTCATAAATAAGCCCGTTTGGTGTTTGGCCAGTCCTTTTGGCACAAAGGCTATCACGACGGACCTACTTTCTAGGCTGCACAGAACATTTGCATGTTGAGTCTGCCGCGGGATTGGTTGACATTGAGCAGTCACAATGAGGTCCATGCCGACGTTAGGATTGGACAAGCTGAAATAAGTCCCGAGAGCACAGACAGATGTAAGAAGCACAATTGAACAGAGCATTAAACATAGGTCATAGCACACATAGGTAGTGGCACACGTGATCTTATAATGATGACGTTTCTAAGACGACCGTTACCCCTGTTTGCATCGGACTGTATAGTAACATAATAGTATTTTAAAGATATGCTTAGTATCTTTTTTTTCATGATACTCATGATAGAGATGTGGTTTTATGCCAACTGGAGACACAACTGCCTTGTCAATGCTTAATTCGAGAGACATTTTCTCCAGCCATAATACCGCAGTACGTAAAGTTCGTTTGTGGATGTTGCCGCAAGCTCTTTGCACGAGTCGTTATTTTGATGTGCACGTCATCAGCATGCAGGGATACTCTTGACCCATTGGCTTCTAAATGTCACGCGGTAGCACTCGGTATATATTAAACAAAGAAAGGTCTCTGGACAGATCCCTGCAGGACACATACAAAAGTGACACGTTCCTCTATTTTAGCATCTTGACAAAAAAAAAACGATGTTTTTTCATTGGTAAGATAATCACACAGCCAAACAAGTGGCGATCCAGATCCTCAAATACGCTGGTGCAATGTGTCATTAATAATGATCATTTTTTTTTAAATACTGAATGCAATTGAAGGACCCAAAAGCAGCACGTGTAAGTGTATGTAATGGACAGTGTGAATGTACAGCTAATCCCTCGCCTACCGCGGGGATTAGATTCCCGGAAAAGGCCGCAGTTGGCAAATCCGTGGTTGGTTACAAATACCGGGGGCCTATGGGAAATAGGGAGTTAGGGGGAACTACTCGCCATAGTCTGACTCAGTTGCCTGTTTTTTTTTAACGAAACACCGAATGAGATCCAGTATATTACACAGCACAATAAAAACGTAACCACGCATTACGTAAACTTGACACACCTTTAATGTGAACGACGGTGATCATGATCGATGGCAATGAGATAATGGGGGGGGGGGGAAGGGTTTGTTAGAAGGAGGAGGGGACTCGATCCACCCTCTAACTCGTCCGTGCTGAAGACACAACTCTCTGTCACCTCCACCATGCGCTACCACGCTTCGGGTCCATGGTTAAGCCATGCAGAGCGTCTTTCAATTGCATTCAGTATTTAAAAAACAAAATGAGCATTATTAATGACACATTGCACCAGCGTATTTGAGGATCTGGATCGCCACTTGTTTGGGCTGTGTGATTTTCTTACCAATGAAAAAACATCGTTTTTTTGTCAAGATGCTAAAATAGAGGAACGTGGGAATAGGTTTTACCCTTTTAACTGGCACAAAAACTGACACCTTTATTCAAGGCATCATGTTTGCAAAAACCACAACACAAGCAGTCAGAATGCAAACAAAAAAGACAACTCTGATAATAATATTGGCACTGTCCTTGAATTTGATTGGTCCACACCCGAGACAGCTTTTCTTAGAGCCCCTTAGTCTCCATTGGTGTTGGACCAGAAGACGCCAAAAGGCGTACAACTCAAAAACAGCGCACCATCAGAGTATGTGTCCTGCAGGGATCTGTCCAGGGACCTTTCTTTGTTTAATATATACCGAGTGCTACCGCGTGACATTTAGGAGCCAATGGGTCAAGAGTATCCCTGCATGCTGATGACGTGCACATCAAAATAACGACTCGTGCAAAGAGCTTGCGGCAACATCCACAAACGAACTTTATGTACTGCGGTATTATGGCTGTAGAAAATGTCTCTCGAATTAAGCATTGACAAGGCAGTTGTGACGGGGAACCCCGCGACATTGGTAACGATGACGCCGCGCGTTACAATGTGATGCAATGACGCAATACCTACGTCACTCGACTTCCTTAACACCGTGCTTAACCGCGGATACTCAAATGTCCAGGCCGCGGTTGGTAAATCGGTATAGAAATCATCAAACCCTGTGTACATTCAGCTTGCGGTTAGCAAATCAGTGGGTGGCAAGGGATTCCTGTACGTAAAAAAAATATTGAGCAAAATTACGGGATGTGGATTTGGGGAAAATGTTGAAATGAAAAGGTCATGGAGATTACGATAGAGTGTGAAGCATGTCTTACTGATTACACTGTAACAAAAAAACATTGTTCCTGGGTAGTAAGTGTTATTTCCTTGTTGCTTATGCCTCTAAAGTACAGAAAATGGCTATCTATTACCCACAAACTTTGCTTTTGTGACCAGGACAATGATTTTTTTTTATTTAAAGCTTTCGTGACTGCAGTAATTCATATTCTTAGTTTTTTTCGTGACTTCACCGAAAACAAACTAAGAACAGGCCAATGATGTTTTGACATTTACCTATTTTCAAAATCGAAAACGTGGCGTGCATTTGTGTCATTCCTTCACGTAAAGTCCTGGTCACAAAAGAAAAGTTTGATGGGAACAATAATAATAATAATAGCAATTTTCTATACTGTTGAGGCATAAGCAATTAGAAAATAACACTTAGTAACCAGAAACAAAAATCGTGTTACATGTCTTACTATCTATACGTAAAGGCTTCTCCCTATTGTCCTTATAAATGACGTAGCTAAAACAACTCGTGATTGTCCTCGGAAGTATGTAATTACACTAAAACAAAACCTGAACATTCATCAAGAACTCTGTGGCCTTATCTTAACAAAATTTACAGAACGTTTTTTTTTCTTACGCGCTTCACAGCGATGATACAATTGTACATAAGATGATAGTGGTCTGAGATGAGGAATGTGGTTTTTAAAAATGTTGGTGCTATTTGAGTAACAAAACAGAACAGGCGTGAGTGTTAAGGAGGGGGCTGGGGTAGGTTTGGTTGGAACTGGGGGGGGGGGGGGGGGAAGTGATGAGGCATTGCATTGGGAAGACAAAGAGAGTCGGACGGGGGGGCTGGGTGGGTAGGGGGAAGAGATGGAGTGGACGCTGAGGTGAATACTTTTATTGCTGGGTTTGTCTCCCGAGTTTTAAGAAAACCCTTCGATGAGTGTGGCCAGTGTTCGATAGGGGTAAGTCCCGAATAGGAATACAACTTTACCTGGAAGTGTTGCTCATGTTGGATCATCTTTACAAGAGTCACACTTTGTCATAAACGCTGCTGCTTTACAACGCAAACACAGAGTGCTTCTGGAGTGTTGCAGGCAAGCGGCTCTGAAGAACCGCCATCGCTACAGAAACGTCGTTCCGCTCTGAACGTCGCGTCTTTGCGTTCGTGTGTCCACCCGCAGGCCGTGAAGGAGATGCAAGCTCGGCAGGGCAGCGAGAAGGCGACACAGCACATGGTGGAGCTGGTGATGGCGAGGGGGCGACCCAGGGTCAAGCAGTTCTGGGAGGCGCTGTGGGACCTCAGGGAAAGTTACCCAGACCTGGAGAACGTCTTTGAGAAGTTCTAATGGGTGGAACCGGAGAGAGAGAGGGGAAGACCTAACGGAGAATGGCTTGACGATGACCTCATAACGAGATTGGTGCCAGAAAGATGATGCGGCCACTACTTTAGCATATTGGCACGACAAGACAGGGAGAGAGGAAAGTGGAAACAAACCACCACCTACGACTATGGGGATATCTGCCATATGGATCGTGATGATGATGATGAATGGTGCGTGGGGGGTAGTTGTGGTCCAGTGGTTATTGCACTGCACAAATCACGGTGGCTAGGATATGTTAATTACCCTGCCCCGTATACAGGACGGGAGGTCGTGGGTTCGATCGGGACCCAGACGCCTGCTGTTTATTTTGAGTTTGCAACATCTCTCTCCCCGTGGTCACGTGGATTTTCATCCAAGTCGTCCTCTTTTCCCTTCCGCATGAAGAATCAACGTGACGCGTTTAGAATATTTTGCTGCCATAAAATTCCACGTGATGATGTTGACAGGAATTCGTTGAGCTATCGTTTCGGATAGCCATGTCGTTTCTGAATAAGAGCTACTGTATAGCTCATTGGGCCTGTACTGGAAAGATAACTCAAATATATATTTTTTTATCATTTATGAACCCAACTGCTCTGTCTGCTTCTTCCCTGGCACCGCTCCGCTTTGTAATTCCCTCCCGTCGTGTCAAGTTTTTGTAACAACCCTTGCCCAATTCAAGAAAGGTATTGTCCATTGACAGCCACGCAGAGGAATGTGCATGAATGCCGTGGGGGGGTGTTTAGTCAACGAGACCAAATTAATCGGTCCTATTCATTAAGATTACAAACATTCATCAATGGTTAATTTATGTTACGGTCGGCTTATTTTAACTTTGTTTTATTCATTTATAAATAGCATCACGATACATATCATAATTATTTAATCACGGGCCAAGCAAGGTGTATTCACTTGCATTAGATCGCTGCCACTTCCAGAGCAGATCACTTTGCCAGGCTCCCTCACTACCAGGCCGGGGATGCCTGATATGGCCATGGTCGCCATTTAACAAAAAAATGGCCGCGAGTTATCAACTCCGAAAAACATTCGTAGAAGATTACAATTCTTAATTCTATATTTAAAGCTTTCGTGACTGCTAGGATCCATACTCTTTGGTTCTATTGGGTAAAGTCACGTAGGTGAAAATAAAACAACAAAAAATCACGACGTTTCGGCCACAACACAAGCGGCCCTCATCAGGTGAAGGGACGAGACCGTCTGGAGTGAGGAAATCCGATGAGCTGTGAAGCTCTTTCGTTCACACATTGATTAGCTTGGGGGTCGTGATCTGGGCGTGGCTTTTCTCGCTCCAGCGCTGTCCTCCAGACGGTCTCGTCCCTTCACCTGATGAGGGCCGCTTGTGTTGTGGCCGAAACGTCATGAGAATTTTATTGTGTTATTTTATTTTATTCATTTATTATTGTTATTTTTTTGTTGTTTTATTTTCACCTACGTGACTTTACCAAAGAGTATTACAATTCTTAGTTGCATTACTTGATTCATGATCATCATCAGCGATTGTCATCTCCTTGCTCTCTATTCATCATCATCGGTGATTATATCACCTTAGTGATATAATGTCATCTCCTTGCTCTCTATTCATCATCATGGGTGATTATATCACCTTACCATAATCATCATCAGTGACAACATCACCTTATGTATTCATCATCAGTCATGACATCACCCTGCTCTATTCGTCATCATCAGTGATGACATCACCTTATGTATTAATCATCGGTCATGACATCACCCTGCTCTATTCGTCATCATCAGTGATGACATCACCTTATGTATTAATCATCAGTGATAACATCACCTTGCTCTATTCGTCATCATCGGTGATGTCATCAGCTTGCTCTATTCGTCATCTACAGTGGTGAAATTACCTTCACTATTTAAGACCGGAAACAGGAAGACTTCTTCACAATTCTGGCAAATCCTCTGATGAAGCTGCTGGTTGTTGTTGTTGTTGTAATCGCCAGCTAAACATCGCAGCAGTACTGAGGAAGGAAGCTCTCCCTGGCTATTGCGTTTCAAAAGGGTTCGGGGGTAGCAGGGCGTGCTGATATTCTCAGTCGCCACCGTGCCTGGTTACGGTGCAAGTCTTTTGTTTTGCATCTCCCCCGTACCCCTTCTCTGGCCTTTATCCACCCAGAAGTGTCAAAGGAGGTCGCGCGTGGTGGGACAAACAGTGGGTATCTCCGATGTGTTTTTTTTTTAAGGCATCCGACCAGCATGGAAGAGAAGGCGAAATATTTTTTCACGGGGGAAGGGGCTTTCTTTTTGGGGATCCATGGTGGCTAGGAGATGTTGACTACATCGCCTGGTATACAGGAAGTTGTGGGTTCGATCCTGACCCTGACGCCTCCTGTATATTTGGAGTTTGCATCTCCCTCCGCCGTGGTGGCGTGGATTTTTCTCTGGGTCCTCCGGGTTTTACCCTCCACATTTAGGAATCAACATCACACGTTTCGAGTTTTTTTTGGCTACTGCTCTAAATTTCCACACGACGTTGATGATATCAGGCACTTCGTTGGGCGATCATTCATGATAGCCAGGTTCCACTTCCGAAAGAAGAGCTATGTAGCTTAGTGGGGCCTTACCTGGTGAAATAGTGCAACATATACTCTGGGGGGAGAGGCTTTATAGAAACCCCTCTCGTGGAGGCCTTTCCACCAGCAGTGGCCCAGGTAAGTGATTTCAAGACTGCCTCTTTAGCTTTCAGAATAGTTGTCTTCATACTGGAGGAATCCGATGAGCTACAAAGCTCTTTTTTTCACAGATGTCCAGTGTGACCCTTGGTAGTCATACAGTCACGTGACAAATTCCCTTCACTTCTATTCATCCCACCGAGCCTCGTTCCACGAACGACGTTTCGTTAACGGTGCCTGTAGTCGACAAATTTTAGAGCCCCTTGGGCCAGACCAGATATCGGTACCACCCAAGTTGGCCAAACTTCATTGGTGCCATTGTATTTGTTACACCAACAGAAGTAAAATAATACGCGATAACCTTTCCAAATGAGCAGCTGTTTAATTTTTCTCCCAGGAAAACTGCTTTCGCACCTATCGCATTCACGCCTATTTGCCCGAACGTTGCAAATAAAACATTCCAACACCTCTGCTGTTAATTAAGATAACAAATAACTTACGAAATGGATGTTTGTCCCCAACGGATGTATTTCATACACATTCTTGCATCTATTCACGCTTGTTCTTCAATTTCAGAGACTTAGTTAAGTCTGGAATAGATTGGCGCTATCTGTTTTCCTTCTGTTTCCAGCGGCTTGTTTGCTCATGATCATTTACTGGCAGGTGAGGCAAGTACTAGTGGTTGTGTATTATTTCTGTTCATAAAATATATCTAAAGTGCCAACTTTACCCTCAATGTACTGTTAATGTACCTTCTTTGGTTCTTTCGGTAAAGTCACGTAGAATGAAAATTAAATAATAAATGAATAAAATAAAATAACACAATGAAATTCTCACGACGTTTCGGCCACAACACAAGCGACCTTCAGCATGCTAAGTCCGCCAATTAAATGCAAATTTTGTATGATAATTCATTTGTCAAGGCGCTCTGTTTCTTCTCACACAGCTTAAAGGTCGCGGTCTGAGCTTGGCTCTGTTCGCTCCAGCGCTGTCCTCCAGACAGTCTCGTCCCTTCACCTGATGAAGGCCGCTTGTGTTGTGGCCGAAACGTCGTGAGAATTTTATTGTGTAATTTTATTTTATTCATTTATTATTTTATTCTCATTTACCAAAAGAACCAAAGAAGATGAATCCTTGCAGTCATGAAAGCTTTAAATCGACAAGTTAATGTACCTCTTAAGATTATTAGTTAAGGCCAGGTACTACAGGCAAAAGTAATGATTTTTGTTCAGTTTGTCAATGTTGATCTTTTTGATATTTTGCTTCCATAAATTGTAAACTTTCATAACATGCACACAATTATATCCAATAACTTTGTTAGTGGTAACCATTGGCACTTCTTGCCTGGTTCTAGACTGATCTGACTTCTAGCCTGGTTGCTTCAATGAACTCTCTAGGCATTGTCCAAGTCAAGGAATCAACGAAGAAGTACATAAGGCGAAAGCTGGAGAGGGCGTTTGCTGGAGCCTTGCGTATCTTCCCTGATGTGAAAGGAAAACTCCTCCTCTATCCAGCTAACCTGTCCATGAGGGAACTTACCAAATAAAATAAGTCGCTAAAAATGGAGCTCCAGACCCTGAAAAGTGTCGGTGATGAAGATGTTATAGCCAAAGCAGCCGTCAAATTGAAAGAGGACATCAAGAGTCAAGATGTTCCTCAAGCCTGGCCGCCTGAAGTCAAACCAGAAGCAGAATGTCCTACCATTCCAGAGTCGCTCATTGTCTTCCTGAACTATCTGCTCACAGGCGCTCATGATCCTGATCATGCATCCCATAGAGTTCAGCGGCTTCTGCAATCATTTGGCCATGACATAGTTTATGCAGTGACATGTGCAACGACCAAGCCTTCCAAACACATTGTTCTGCCATTCAGTGTCAAGTCATTGTCAGGGAATGGAGAGCTGATAAACATCCTCAACCGACTTGGTCACAGTGTGTCCTATTCACGGATGGAAGAGATCGGCACTGCCCTGCGTCTTCAGAACCTCTCATCATCAGGGAGTGACATTGCCCTACCAGCTAACATCCATCCTGGTATATTCACAACTTTAGCCTGGGACAATATCGATCGTCTTGAAGAAACCGTCACTGTCAGCGGTGAGGGATTGCTGTGCAAGCAAAGCGAGCCAGCCCAGGTCCTGTCCAACCCATTGCCCACTGTTGCCAAAACAAAGCAGAGAAGCATTAATGCACCCCCGCCAATGGTACCAACTTACAACGCTGGACAACGGGTGGAGGCCACCACAAAGCAACAGTGCAGATGGCGATACCGCAGCCAATACTCAGCTTGCCAGGGAGAAGAAACTTGTTCGGGTCCTAGCACGCACGTCACAACAGGAAGACCAGCCAATCAGCAGCTGGACAGGCTTCTACATCGTGACTCGAGGTGAGACGACGGTCATCCCCGACAATGCAGGCTCTCTGCCCGCCATCAGTGCTCCAGCGACACAAGTGTCTACCGTCAACGAGGTGCTTCACCGGTCACCGAGCGTCGTGAGGTACTTAAGCCTGACAAAGATTGTCCGCCTCTTTGAACCAAGCCGTGCATGCGACGGCCGTCGAGATCACATGGAAACACCGTGACAGGCTCCATGATATCGTCGTCAGGCTTGGGGTATTCCACACCATCTGCACACTGCTGGCAATAATTAGGAAAGCGTTTCCAAAATGCTGGACTCCGAGATCTCTGCATTGAGTCTGGCATGATCGCAGAAGGCTCCATTGTTTCTGGTGTTATGGATGGCCGCAAGCACAACAGGGCAGTGCGACTACACAAGCTCCTGTGTGAGGCTCTCGTGCGACTGACATGGAATGGTTTCCTGTCCTGGTTGGTAGCAACT